ATGAAAAGATCAGATCCAGGTCGCATATGGGCAAAAAAAATCAGATTTGGGTCACTTCAGGCTGCAGTGTGACATAGCCTAGACTGCCATGGGTGGCATGTGGGTAAAGAAAAACTGACTTGGGTTTAATTTACCTGGTCTTTGAATTTGGACTCATTTACACAGAAGAAGCCAAACTAAGACACAAAGAAATATAACCAACGGGAAATGAATAACAAAGATCAGAGGTAAATGTATTTTACAAAGAACAGAGCACTAGAATGAAGAAACTAAACACATAAACCACCCACCATGCTGCCTTATGGTAAGAACATTTATAACATTAGTAAACAACAAGAGGATGCTGAAATAAAAAAAAAATAACCAAACCCAGCAGTGTCACATTGCAAGCATAGCTGGTTGCAGCAACAGAATCACTTTAGCCTTATTCAAAAGACACGAATATGGTCTCTTCTTAAAACAGCTGAACTTCTAAAAGATGAAAAGAAGATTTAGGACACTGTTGAAGGACTTGTGATGTAGAAATAGTAACAGCCAAGCAGCAAGCTCAAAATAAAGCTTCTTCTGTCTTGTACATCAACATCAGTGCTATCTTATCTCTCCTATCACTGCTCCAGGTTATTCCCCTTGCCACTACTCCAGTGGATCATCCTGTATATTTATCATTATTACGTTCAATAAATAGCATTTGTACTGATGCAGTTTCCCCCTCAGGGTCCTCCCTGCATGTTAGTTTTTTTTTTTTTTTTTTTTTTTTTTTTTTTTTTTTTTTTTGTGAAAAACTCATTTACTGAATTGTTCAAGAAATATAAAATCCTCCTCTGGAGAGGAAGTTAAAAAAGATATGTTAGCATTTCACATTGTTTTTTTCACCTGTCTGACCATCTGGTGGCTGCTTGGATATGGTTTATTGTATTTAATATTGTTTATTTTACAACTTATCATTTTTTTTCAAGAGATATTATATCTGTTATTGTCTTTGTTTTGTTTTTTTCATTTTACTTTGTTAAAAACATTGGTTTGGTCCAGTAATTAATTTCTTATATTTATTGTAGTGAACTTGATACTCTGCCATGGATATACTGAAGGTGAGACACTGATTCCATCAAACCTTTTTCTTTTTGTATCTATATCATTCTTAGTTTTTTACCTATCTCAAGATCTCTTTTCTTTCGGGTTATGGTAATAATGACTTTATTCTTGAGTCTGTTAGAAGATATCAAAGTAAATATTATTATACCTCCATGTTACATGGAAACAATCAAG